TGTATGTGGTTCTATAATGTCTGTTTCATATGGATCTGGTCTGTGGGGTTTGTTCTGAATGCTTCAGTTCTAACTTGCACTCTCAGACACCTGCGCTACCGCAAGTGACGTCACTTGCAATTTTTTTATTTATTTATTTTTTATTAAATCTCTCAACATTTTACAAAAGTAACCAGGTGGTGAAGACAAGAAAAAAGCAACAAAATTACAATGTCGCTTCGCCACCTGCACTCTCCGCTACCTGCAATGTCACTTGCAATCGACACAAATCGTGTGTTGCCAATGGAGACGAGACGCTGTGGTGGTTAAACGATTAAAACTAATTAAGTACCATTACATACAGGGTCCTGCAAGTCACCTGTAGGAGAAAAAGACAAGAGCCGCAAATCCGTGGCCACAGAACAGCAGAATATGAACATAATGAGCAAAGTCTCCCGTTAAGCGTTAATAAACTGTATATCGAATTTGATCTGCTAACAGCACTATCTTAATACATTAATCCATATTAAGTGTTTATGGTTTTCTACAGGAGGGAAACGCTTTACGAGAGACTTTGTGCATTGTGTTCATATTCTGCTGTTCTGTGGCCACGGATTTGCAACTCTTGTCTTTTTCTCCTACAGGTGACTTGCAGGACCCTGTATGTAATGGTACTTAATTAGTTTTAATCGTTTCTCCATTGGCAACATGCACGATTTGTGTCGATTCCAAGTGCCGTCGCAGGAAGTGGAGAGTGCAGGTGGCGAAAGCGACATTGTAATTTTGTTTCTTTTATTTTGTCTTCACCACCTGGCTACTTTTGTAAAATGTGGCGAGATTCAATAAAAAAAATAAAAATAAAAAAATGATAAAAAAATTAAAATAAAAGATTGCAAGTGACGTCACTTGCGGAAGCGCAGGTGTCTGAGAGTACAAGTGCATGTAGGAAGTGTCTTACAAAATACTTCATCGAATTTATCCTGCTAAGCATGTTTTGGAAAGATTTAAGCTTAATATTTCGTATACCTGTGAATTTTGTGGTCAAGAAAAAGAAACTATTTTGCATCTTTTTTTTTCATTGTATTTACTCGAGATTATTTTGGAAGGATTTGGAATTCTATATTAACAGAAAAATAGAGTGTATGATAGAAATTTGTATATTTGATGT